TCCATGATTATAGCAATATCCAAGAATATTTTGAATTATAGAATTAGTTTGAACAATAGGATTCTGTTGGTTATTTAGACATAAGTTTATTACTTCTTCTGGCTTTTGCTGCTTATTTATCAAATGTTGTTCTATTGAGTAAATAATTGAATCATTATAATTTCCTTTCAAAATTCCTTTATTATATAAGTTACATAAATCTTCAATAACTTTATTTAAAAAATCATACGAATCATGCAACGATAAATTTGCTAGGTTTGAAACATTAAAGTCTTGATCTTTATCATTGTAATTAATTCCATTTATTGATAATTCTGCAGATGAATTACAATAAATGGTCGGAAAGCTTTTTTCATTTGGCATGATATCTCAAGAGTGTTTGTATATTCGAATAATGTACAATGATACTTAGTAATCATATACGTAATTATTTGTTATACAAATATTTTGTGCTATGTCGCACAGTTGATTTTTTTAATCGTGATCACTACTCCAATACTATATAATGATAGGATCAAATATTATTATTTTTTTTAATAATTTCAAATCGTAAATTTCGCCCATATTTGAATTTAGGAACTTAATTTCGGTAAGAGAAACTATCATATTAATCCAGTGAATTTTTATCTTGGTAAATTTTTGTATTGTAGCTTCATACGAAAAAAAAAGCGATACAAAAGAGTATATTAGGTCACACAAAGTTGATTTTTCGTTTGCATTACCCGTCCGCCCATTTTTTTAATTTTTTTCAAAATTTTTTTTTTAGTTTCCAATTGTGTCAATTATTCGATTTTTAGCATTTATTTTTATACATTTTTTAAATCCGGGTTCTCCCGGCGAACCCGATTTCCCGAAATCATCCGATAGTCCGTCCGTCCGTAATTTTGAAATCCATGTAATGCAAAACGAAAAATCAAATTTGCGTGGCCTGATATAAGTTTTAAGAAATATTAAAAAGTAGTTAGTTAAACTAGCTAAATGTTCATAATAGCAAATATAAGACTAGTATTTTAACCTTTAGTTTATTTGCTCACTGCTTATAAATGGGGATTCATAGCTAACATAATTCGAAAACAAGTGCGAGCATAAAAAATCGAATTTATAATTATAATACTAATGAAATGAAATGGAGTGTCTACAGACTCCCATTTCATGAAAAAATTAATTAATCTGTACATACTAGTTATATGTATAGTATTTTATGTCTAAATAAATATTATGTATTCAAATTAATTTGTGTTGCAATCGGTGTTAGTCACTTTTATAAGTCAAATAATTTGTATTGGAATTTATAAGTCAATGTTCCAATTTATAGGTCCAGTTTAATAAAGTTGGTCCAATCGCCTGACACTGGTTGCAATAGAACTCTAAGCAGACTCGATTGGTTAGGTTTTAAATTCCACTTAACAGTAAATTTAAATTAACATAAATTTAATTGTTATCGATTTAATAGAAATTAATATATATGAAAAATTAAATAAAAAGCAAATGAAATTAACTTTTTAAAAATGGTTGAGCTATATAAGAAAATTTATTTATTTAGCAGTGCATTTGAAAAGCTTACAAATTTCTCGATTAATTATTACATGAGAAGATTATTTAATTATTAAAATTCTTCAAGTTCCATTAAATATAATTACTGGAACTGTTAAAGATCATGGATCAAAAAAAAAATTTAGCTTACGAAATCTTGGAGTATTGATAATCATTTTGATAGTATGTTCTACCAACAGAATATATGGCATATGTTGAAACATATTGGAGTTGAAAAGAATGAATGTAAGGCATTTATTTATTATCAAAAATCTGCCAATATGGGTAATTCTAGTGGAATGTACAATCTCGGAGACTGCTATGAAAATGGAATTGGAGATAAAATGGACAACCATAAAGCATTCATATATTATCAAAAAGCTTCTGATATGTGCAATTCTGATGGAATATATAAAGTTGGTTGTTGTTATCAAGGCGGAATTGGTGTTGAAAAGAACGAAAATAAGGCATTCCTTTATTTTCAAAAATCTGCTAATTTGAATAACGCTAGAGGAATGAATATACTTGGGCTTTGTTATGAAAATGGAATTGGAGTTGAAAAGGATGAACACAAGGCATTTACTTATTATCAAAAATCTGCTGATATGGGTAATTCTAGTGGAATGTATAATCTTGGTGATTGCTATGAAAATGGATTTGGAATTGAAGAGGATGAATATAAAGCTTTCATTTATTATCAAAAATCTGCTGATATGAACAATTCTAGTGGAATGTATAAAGTTGGCCATTGTTACGAAAATGGAATTGGAGTTAAAAAAGATGAATACATGGCATTCATTATTTATCAAAAATCTGCCAATATGATAATATTTATGGCATGCGTCAAGTTGGATTTTGTTATCTTCATGGAATCGGGGTTGAAAAGGATGAATATAAATCATTTACTTATTATAAAAAAACCGCCAATATGATGCTAATAAAATAAGCAGTATTGGATTCTTGTTATCAAATTAAATTGGTTTAAAATGGATGCTATCCTTTTATCAAAATTTGTAAAACGGATGAGCTTTAACAATTTGGTTATTTATATAGAATTAAAATTAAGAAAAACATAATAAAGCATTACTTGTTTAAGAAAATTTGTTAATTTGACAGCCATAGTAATGAACATTTTTGAATATTTTATCAAAATGGAATAAGAATTACAAGAGACTTAAAATAGCAATTTATGGAATTAAAAAATAATCACAAATATTTCTAAGTTTTTCTATGAGCAATAACTACGTAGTGAGTGTTTAATTATTATTAAACTTAACAGTAGCCATATAGTCATTATGAAGTTACTATGCAGTTACTCATGACAAGAGATTTAGATATCTGTAATTTATATTCTTCTACAAGTTAATTATGAAAACTATTGCTTAAAAAAAATTAAAAAATTGTGTAGATTTTTTTATATTTCATTTTTTTTTGTTTTCAAGCATTAAATTTGGGCATAAATAAAAAGCTATATAATAATTACTTAGCAGAAACTTGAATTTTAGCCATTTATGATTATCGTATGATAATTATAAGTTAAAAATATGATAAAAATATTTCAATAAAAAATATAATAAATATATGACAAACATATATTAAAAGTATTATTATAATACTATAAACATATTTTAATAATTTTGTTAAGTCACTATTAACACGATTAATACCATATATTTTAATATAATTATAATATAAGTATAATCTAATATTATTTTTTTATATAATATAATATAGAGCTAATATAAAGTCCCAATTTTAGTTTTCGTGGGGTTCTGAACATTTTTATTTAGAGTACCCGATCCCGTTTACTTAGTACGTTTTTGAGATATAGCAATACTGGTGATGATCACCAGTGGTGATAAATAAGCAGAGTAGGTTTAACATTATAGCAAACTTTAAAATTTAATTAAAATTATAATTTATATATAGATGTTGCTTTTTTTTTTTTTTTTTTTTTTTTTTTTTTAAAAAAAACCCCGAAGCTTCATGAGCCCAGGGACGTCATGTGACGCTCTTTATTAACCCTTAAGATAATAAATATTACAGTTTAACTGTCACAACTGATCAATTACAATTAAAGGACATACCGTCCCAGCAAAGCCTTTTCATTATCCTTAACTTTCCCATTCGCTAGTGCTACTTGTATTTCTCTCTTGATTCTGTGTTTCCAAATAAATCCAAGCGCCGGCTCTGGGATGGAACCCTCCCCCACCTCATATTCGTAAGCAGAACCCAAAGTTCATAAACTATAATTATGTGTAGCCATACCATGACCGTATGCAAATGGGGTCCCTTCGCATTAGCCGCCGTTATTACTTCTTCTGTGGATACCGGTCTAGGTAAGTCACGTGAGAATTCAAACGTCTCATATGCTATTTTCCACAATTCTTTGCTTATTCGACACGTAATGACAAAGTGTTCCATTGTTTGCTCCATGTTAGGACACCAGGGACAGTCTCGAGGTATATCCGGGATAAAGTTGCAGAGTCTTGGACACAGTGGGAGGGCATTGTGCAACATTCTCCAAAGAATGTCTTTTTTATAATTAGGAATCCACTTAACCTGCTGCCAGGACCAATTCTCCTTTTTGTCTCTCTCACTGAAAAGGTTGGCTTGAGATAGAGTATGTGATATTGTTGACTGTTTTAAAAACTCCGTAGCTTTTGCTACTGTTATTTCGTTTCCCTTCTTTTCCATAATCTTCAGTGTTTGGAGGTCCCATGGCCAGTCTCCCGCATCCAGTGCGATCGACCCTCTTAATCTCTTCCATGCCATTAAAAACGGCCTCCATTCCTCTGGCCAACCTTTTAGCTTAACTGAAGAGAGTAAAAGAATCTCTGTTACTGTTTTTTTTTGTTTGTTGAATAAGGTAAGCCTGATTCTTTCCCTTTCGCTCTTCGCCCAAAAAGTGTTACTCATTAGTAATTTCAGCCAGACCATACAAAGTCTAGCATCTAGCATGTCCGCAATAACTGGGGCATTCGGCCCATTGTGTTCAAATTGTTGCTGATATATAGAGTATCTAGGCAGTGTTGTACATGGACATATGTCCAATCAAATCCATGAACATGGACAGTCCATGGACAGTGTCCAATGTCCATGTCCACAAGATCATCAGGTGACAAATATTGTACATGGACAGATGTCCAATCAAATCGTTGGACATGGACAAATGTCCATGGACGATGTCCAAAATGTCCAAGCACATCATTGGCTAATTAGCAATAATTCCGATTTGCTAAAATT